ATTTAAATGCTCAGTCCTTGGCCACTGCTAAGATGTGACAATTGACCCGTGTTGAGCATGTGGAGATAATTCAGCCTCCCACATAAATTTTCCCTCCACACCCAGAATTTTCTACAGAAGTTCTGTCTACCATAAGAAAAGTGGTGTTACCTTCAGTCGGCTTTCCTTTTCCGACACAATGGATTGAATGAGGGTAAGATGATTCATAGAGAAGATAGATACAATTACTAAAGGAATGAAAAGACCAGAAAATATAAAGAAGAAATCATGAAAATATGATGGGTATGGAAATCGCTGAACAAAAATGCTGATATTATCAAACAGCAACTGTGTGGCACTGCTGTTGTGGTAGCGCATGATGGCCACATCTAAGAAATGCTGCACAATCAGGAATCCTTCAGAGATGTACCCTAAACAAGAAAACAAAGATTGCTAAGTACAGCGGACCAAAAAACAGTTGAGCTGAACAAAGAAAACAGCAATTAAAGTTTGTCAAAGATAGCAAAGCTAACTGTCATAATGAGGCTCTTCTCATGGTCTAAATTTCAGAGCAGCTATCATGGTTTCACCACACGAATACACAGTAAATACTTTCTAAAAGGATCGTAATGCCCAGCTTCCAAGAAATGAAATACTGCATGAAATTACAGAGCTGCTTTCTGCAATTTCAGTTAACTGACATAAATGAAAAATTGGATTGATTATTGGTTAGGCAAAGACTTTGATTCTGCACCCTGGACATTTGAAAAAAGAAATGAAGCTCATACAAGAAGTAACACAAATGAGTGACTTATATGAGCTGATGTCCAATAAAGCAGTGCTAATCAAAGTATTGCCCTTGGACCTGTGACAATATGCTGTTTCCTACTCGTATGTGAATTAAGTATAGAAATTAAGAGCAAGTACTTAAAACTTTTATAGAAATTTAGCAGTCATGACATCTAAAAAGAAATTTTTCCATTAATTTATACAAGTCCTTTATATACTATGAATGTGAAACCTGTGTCAGATATACATATTGTGC